ATAGCTTCCTTGCTATCTGGTATGACAAGTATCGTAGACTCATTTCGTACATTTCTTGCTTCAAACCTGGAGTCAACCATTTTTTCAAGGAGCCCTGGTTTCCTTTAGTGGGAAATTTAATTTAAAGACCACAATCTGGGCGCTAGGGTGCTTGTCACTACTGGGTTGGACACTGTATCTAGGGCTTTCAGTGGATAGAGCTAGGAAATTGTTGTGTATGTATGTGTATATATAGATTATGTAGGTAGGTATATAAGTAATATTTATTTAAAGATAAAATACCTCATGAATTTATACAGATAATTTTAATACAAATTCAGTACTAGAAGGTTTTTAACTTAAGTTCTTCAAATATTAGTTACATCTGTGTTTCCTTCCATACTGAGAATTCAGGCTGTCGAGGACACAAAGGGTGATAGAATTAGAATATCCCATAATTACTCATTTGCTTTATTCCATGTTAACACACAACAACATCTGACTAACAGTACTAACAATATCACCACCAGTATACCTACTGAAAACATTCTTTAGTAGTTACATCTGCACTGTCAGAGCAGGTAATCATTACATACCATCTTTCTCCCCTTTAATCCTCATTTAGACTCTTAGCTGTCCTTATAACTACATATTTAATATTCACTCCAGCCTTTTTGTTGTTGCCTTACTCTCTTTAGTCAGTTTGGTTGTCTGAAGATCATTTTTAGCAGATTATTTAGGAGGGGGTCATGGGAACAATAATCTCTGAATTCTTTTTTTTTAAATTTTTTTATTGTACTTCAGGTGAAGGCTTACAGAACAAATAGTTTCTCATGAAACAGAAGTACACATGTTGTTTTATGACCTTGGTTAACAACCCCACAACGTATCAACCCTCTAACTTCTCAATCTTTTTTTTTTTTTGGTGAAAATACGCATAGCCAGAGATACACCATTTCAAAAATTTCTGCATGCACAGTTCAGTGACATTGACTGCGCTCTTCAAATTGTGCTGTTATTCTCACTTAAGATGAAGGCTTACAGAACAAAATAGTTTCTCATTTAACAGTTACTGCAAGTGTTGCCCTATGACAATGGTTAACAATCTCACAACACATCAACAATATCCTTACTCAACCTTGGGTTCCCTATCACCAGCTTCCTTGTCCCCTTCTGCTTTCTGGCCCTTGTCACTGGACTCCTGTACCTCGTTAGTCTCATTTGGTTTTACGGGGCTGTCCACTCCCAGGCTGAACAGTGAACCTCGGAGGTAACTTCACCAGTGAGCTAAAAGGGTGTCTGGGGGCCATACTCTCGGGGTTTCTCCAGTCTCCTTTAGGCCAGTAAATCTGGTCTTTTTTTGTGAGTTAGAATTATGCTCTACATCCTTCTCCAGCTCTGTCCAGAACCCTTTGTTGTGATCCTGGTCAGAGCAGTCAGTGGTGGTAGCCGGGCACCACCTAGCTGTACTGGACTCAGTCCAGTAATTTCTGATTTCTTGCATGTATAAGTTTGTGACCTTTATATTTCAAAATCAGTTTGACTGGATATAAAATCTTTATCACCTTTTCTTTCTTAGAGTATCTTCAATGTGTTATTCGCTTTTCTTCTGCCAGTGAAAGTCCCTGTCAGAGAAGATGATAATCCAATTTTATCTCCCTCATAAGTCACTTGCTCTTTTTCTCTAGATGTCCAAATGATTTTATTTTTTCTTGAAGTATTTTAATTTTATTAGATTATGTCTTGGTATTAGTTGTGTTCTGTGTTACGTTCAGGTGTGTGATATACTCTTTCAATGTGTAATTTCGTGTCCTTTCCTCCCAGTTTCAGGAGTATTTCTTAAGTTATAGCTTTTAGTAATTTTTTCCTCTAGGGATTCCTATTATCTGTATGTCAGATCTTCTTTACCTTCCTTCAATATTTGTTACTTTCTCTCAGATCTTTTATCTTTCCTCATTTCTTAAGATTTTTAAAAAACTTTTCACTTTCATTTAAGATGTTATCTGGTGTGTTTAGACATTCTTGTGAAGTTTCTCTTAGTTTAGTCTTTATCTTTGACATTTAGTCTTCATCTCTGATTTTTTTTTAAAATTTCTAACTCTTTCATGAGTTATGTTACCTAATTTGTGAAATTTTCAATTCTGTTCTTCCTATCTTATATCATTTTCTTAATGTCTTTTAGCTCATTTTAAAATAGTAGGTTAACTTTTTATGTTTCTAGCTACTTGTGTTATTCTGCTCATTGTTCCTTTTCATTCTCTCTTCATAAGGTATGGCATTTGACCTCAGTTGTTTTCTATCATTTATTTTTTGTGTGAAATTAGTTTTCTGAACTTTTAGAAGAGGGCATAGTTAAGGAGAGCATTTCTAACTCCGTAGAGCTTCCCCTTCTGTTGTTTTCAGCTTATTGTTGTTAGGTGCCATCAAGTTGGTTCCGACTCATAGCAGCCCTATGTACAACAGAATGAAACACTGCCCAGTCCTGCTCCAGCCTCACAATCATTGCTTTGCTTCAGCCCATTGTAGCAGCCGCTGTGTTGGTCCATCTCGTTGTTGGTCTTCCTTTTTTTTGCCAACCTCTACTTTACCAAGCATGATGTCCTTCTCCAGGGATTGGCCCTTCCTGATAACACATCCAAAGTAGTACATGAGACAAAGTCTCGCTATTCTCGCTTCTGAGGAGCGTTCTGGCTGTACTTCTTCCAATACAGATTTGTTCCTTCTTCTGGAAGTCCGTGGTATATTTGGTATTCTTTGCCAACATCATAATTCAAAGGCATCAATTCTTCTTGGGTCTTCTTATTCATTCTTACTTATCGCGATGAGCTTTTGCGTGCTCATTATATGAGGTGATTGATTGTTTTCAGCTAGTGTTTGTAAATATGGTGGTTTGAAGCCTGAGATTTTCTGGACTCTGTTCTCTTCTTTTCTTCCTTTGTCTCTATTGTACTCGTCTTGTATAATTTTTATTCTGTTTACAGCGGTTTTCTCCTCTGTTTGGAGTCCTGTCCTGGCTATTCCATTTCAAGAGTCAGTAGAAGCTAGACTCTTCCATCCCCTTCAGACTTTATCTGAATTGGACTGGGCACAGCCTCTTCCATTTTCAGTTGCTGTCCTCAGATTGGCCCCCTGTGCTTTCCAGTAAATATCCAGATCAAACCTGTTGCTGTCAAGTCAATTCCAACTTATAGCAACCCTATAGGACAGAGTAGAACTGCCCTGTAAGGTTTCCAAGGAGCAACTGGTGGATTCAAACTGCTGACTTTTTGGTTAACAGCCAAACTCATAACCACTGCACCACCAGGAAACCTTCCAGTAAATAGTTACTGGCTATTTTGATGTTCTTCTGTTCTTAGATCCACTGTGCTGTTTCCCTCTGCCTCCACTTTCACTGAAGCTGAAACCATCACTCGTTTGTCCACATCTGCTTGTATTTTGGGGTTCTTGGAGATAATCTTGTCACCTAGTTTTGTTGTAAATGGTCCATTAGTTTTTTGGTTTTGCTGTCTAATTGTGCCATCTGTTTTTATGAGGGCATTTGTAGAGATTCCAAAGCTTTCATAGAATCTTTTTGCTAGTATTTTTTAAAATATCACTAGGAGCAAAATAAATGTATTTTGATGACATATTAAGTCATAGATGTGCTTGGGGTTACTGGTTAGATAATGAATGGCTAAAAACTATGTGGCTGGAAATTTTTTTACTTGGGAGAGGAAAATTGGTGTGTTAGTGGTACATTAATTCATTAAACATTTACTAAGTGTTTATTTTTAAAACACTGTACTGGGGTAAAAAGAACAAAAAAATTAATAAAATACATCATATCTGGAAGGCAGTTAATGCTTTATGGTTACCTTCCACCAGTTATTGGATTGAAAGCTAAGTTTTATCTCAGTAAACCTAAATTATTAAATTCAGGGTCTCTATTTTCAGTTTACTTTGGGAATCTATAGGATCACTATGAGTCAGAATTGACTCGACGCGACAGGTTTGGTTTTGGTTTGGGGAATTTATATAGGCCGCTTACTTTTCCACCTGTTGCTTTATCTTGACTTGCTGCTTATCAGTCTTTGGAAAGATTTTGAAGAATAATTATGTATCGTTGTGATGTGCCCAATCTTCCTAAGAAATTGACCAGAGAAGTCTGTATGCTCTCTTCACAGTCAGCTCTATTTCTAATTCGAGGCTGAAATTGCCAGTCCATTTTAGCCTTCTCCCAGGAAGAGGCAGTTTGGTCTAGAATTGTATTAGAATTTATCGGCCTTAATTAGCTGCCTACAGTGTATTGCAGGATTTTGTTCCCAAAGCTATCCTTCAAAATAGGATATAGCCTTGACTAGCTGTTAGAGACCAAATTCCATGGTTTTGTTCTTTTTGTTATTTCTATTGGTAAGTTTATTTTCTCCTTTGAAAATGATTTTAGGAGGATGTATCACACTTTGTCAAATACAAATACATCAGAAAGTAATTGAAATATGTGAAATATTCACTTGAGGCAAGATCATTTTTCTGCTGTTTTATTTAGGAACTAAAGATTGAAATGTAGGCCTATTGAGACCAATATGAAATATGTTCTCCTGCTTGTAGATATTAAAACAGCTTCCAGACTCAATTCTCAGAGTGAATAAAGCTTTATTTATTTTAAGTGGAAAAAGGCAAAACATCCATCCTATAGATTAGGGTTGGAAGTTATACAGTGGTATTTTAGTAGTAGTAGAAATTTATGGAATATTTTCTTTATACCCTTCTCCCCTACACAATTTAGTGATTTTAATCAGTAACATTAGATCTTATGAGCAATTGATAACTCTCGTGCCTTCGTAGAATGAGCTGGGAAGATTTTAGTTAAAGTTTTGTTGAACAGAGCCTGTAATAATATTGGTGAGTAATATCTAGCTTGTCAGATTTTTGTTTCTATACTTTGGCCTAAATATGTTTATAATGTATTGAGGTTGTTTGTCTGGCATTACAATTATTCAGAAAAATAGTCTTTAACACATCTTTTTCTGATCTGCTTGCAGGTTCATGCATGGGAAATTTCAGACCAGTTGTTACAGATTCGGCAGGATGTGGAATCATGCTATTTTGCTGCACAGACCATGAAAATGAAGATTCAGACCTCATTTTATGAGCTCCCCACGGACTCTCATGCCTCTTTACGGGACTCATTGCTAACCCATATCCAGAACTTGAAAGATTTGTCGCCTGTCATTGTAACGCAGGTAAATCATGTGCTTCTCGTTCAGAAAGTTTGAATTTATCAAGGTTATTTTGGTTAACATTTTAGGCCATATGAGGTAATGTTAACAACTTTATTACGGACTCGTTGCTGTAAACTTATAAGTGGATGAAAGTGAAAATTTAAAGCTTTTGGGCTAATCTAGAGTTCATTTTGTTTCAAACTAACTGAAATACCATAAGTCGGGGAAGTAAGTGCACATTTTCACAGGCACACACGTGTCCCTGCTGTTAAAATTGCAGATGATAAAAATACTGTGTTCTGCTGGGTCAAAGGCTGCCATAGTTGCCTTTTCTTTGAATCCTTTCTGGGCTGATGGACTAGTATAAGTCTCATGGATGAAGCAGGGTAGACTAGAGCATCTGGCCTTTCACTTTAGACAGGGAGATACATTAGAAAGGAAAACTGGAAGCTTCAGTGAAAACGTACTCACTGTGATCTCTGCCTGGCATAGAAGTGCCCTTGAAGAGGAGGCTTTTGCCTAAGGCTTCAGGATAAGAAATGGAGAGAAAAGGGAATGGCATCCCGTTATTTGAGGAGTGATTCAAAGGTCTGACTTTGTCTATAGCTTTGGCCTTTTGGCAAATTATAATCTCTGTCCATGAAGTTCCATGGTATTGCCAAATAAAAGTAAGTATTGACATTTTCTGAGGAAAATCTATAGTCTATTCTGTTGTTGTTTTCTTGTTTTTTTTTTTTTAATTTTGAAGGTTAACATTTAAATCCCAGCAGTTGTGGCTAGGCAGAAGAGTTTACAGTATATGTGTAGTTGAGGGGTGGGGAGGAGGAAGAAAGTTAGTTTCTTTGCTTTCCATATTGATGGTAACCCTATTTATGTTCATCTGTTGTGTTCATTTATTTAATCTCTTCTTTTTATTCAGCTGGCTTTAGCAATAGCAGATCTTGCCCTACAGATGCCTTCCTGGAAGGGGTGTGTACAGACATTGGTGGAAAAGTAAGTAACTTGTATTGATTGTATACTAGCATTTGGAATTACCGTTAACTTTGGCAGAGAAATTTGTTAGCAGTAGCTAAACATTTGGCCTTACTTCCCTGAACTATCAACATAGAATTATATATTAATCTTTGTTAGGTTAAAAGAAAATCACTTAAAAATTTAAATACTACAGAAATATATTATGTTGAATGTAAAAGACCTTCATAGTTTCTAACCTCTCTCCCCTGAATTAACTGCAGCAGTTGCCTTGTGGTTTACTCCCACTAACTGGCATATCAGCAATTCTGTGAAAATATTATCAGGATATTTAAAATTCTATTAAATTGAAGGTTTATATGTATATACACACACACACACACACACACACACACACATATATATATTTACTAATTGTTTTGTTTTCTCTTTTTTTAAATCCCTCATAGAGACAGTATTGTTTGTAGATACATGGAGCCTGGTACTTTGAATAAGAGCTTGGCTGCTAACCAAAAGATTGGCAGTTCAAATTCACCAGCTGCTCCTTGGAAGCCCTATTGGGCAGTTCTTCTCTGTCCTATGTGGTCGCTATGAGTCAGAATGGACTCCACGGCAACTGGTTTGGTTTTTTGGTTTGGCAAGATAATCTGATATCTGCTTGGATTTTGGTATTTGGTTAGAAAATTTTTTTTTTTTTTTAGTAAAGTAGATATTCTTTTCACCTCCAAGCATGTCATTAAAGCCTTTAGATGGGTAATTTATTTTTTGTTTTAAGAAAACTTTAATTTAAAAAATTAACATGCTCACTGAAAAAATTTGAGTAGTATGGGACTTTCTAAGTAAAAAGTGAACACCTTCGTCTCCCCCTACTCCTGTATTTCATAAGTAACCACTATCAATGGTTGAATAGCCAATAAATAAATAAATGAATAGATGCACACATATTTTATTTTTACTATTCATGTACTTATTTATTTGTTCACCCATATATAATATGTTTCGTATACGTTTTTCATTTAATAGGTTGTGAACATCTTTTCATGTTATGATATACAGATATCTCATTTAATGGCTGCATATGTTTTATTGTATAGCTATTTGTAATCCTTTTTATCCTAATTTTGGAGGACATTTATATTTTCCCTATTATAAAAAAGTACTGCAGTGAATAACTTCGTTGCTTATCTTTGCATGTACAATTGGTTCTTTTTATTTACAGTAGTTATCTTCTATAAATTCTGCATGAACACTGAATTAGTGAATACTAAACTCCTAGGGCATATACAGTGTTAGGTTTCTGCCAGCCTCTGGTCACAGCATTTTCATCAACTGATTAATACAAACCTTGTTGTGTGTGTTTCTGTTTAAAGACACCTTATTTAAAATAGTCCATTAACATTGAACTCACAGCCAGTAACACTATAACTCATGCCTGAACAAAGCTTATCTAATGCATGTCTTTTCTCCCTAAGGCATGTCACAGCCTTCATATGCTTAGAGAGCACTTCAGCAGTAAGCTTGGTCTCCTTTTTTTTTTTTCCCCTAAATTTTATTTATTTTGTTATTGTTGTTGATAACATACACCAGTTCAACAGTTTCTACATGTGTAGTTTAGTGACATTGTTTACATTCTTAGAGTTGTGCAACCATTCTGACCCTCCTTTCTGAGTTGTTTCTCCCTCTTTAACATGAACTCACTGCCCCATAAGGCTCTTATCTAATCTTTCAAGTTGCTGTTGTCAATTTGATCCTATGTAGATAGTTCTTAAAGAGCATAATGTTCAAGACAGACCTTTTTTACTAGTTAAGATAAACTATTGTTTAGGTTTTAAGAAGACTTCGGGGGATATTTTTGGTTTCAGGTTTCAAGATTATCTTAGGGCAGTAGTTTCAGGGGTTCATCTGTACTCCCTGGCTCCAGAAAGTCTAGAGTCCATGTTAATTTTAAATTCTGTTCTGTATTTTCCCCCCTTTGATCAGGATTCTTCTGTGGAATCTTGGATCAAAATGTTCAGTAATTGTAGCTGGGCATCATCCAGTTCTCCTGGTCTCGTGGCAAAGGAGTCAGTTTTTCATGGCGGCAATTACCCACACATTCCTTATCCTCCTCCTATTCCTGACTCCTTTGTTGCTCCAGGTGAATAGAGGCCAACTGTGCCTTGGATGACCACTTGTGAGCTTTTAAGACCCAGGCACTACACAACAAAACTGGGAGGTAGAACAGAAGCACTAAACATGTTATTAGGCTAATTAACTGGGATGTTTGGGGTCTATTTTAAACAGCTAAATCACCAACAAAAAGCACAAAAATGTGAGGGGATAAAAAAGGGGATAAATAGACTGTGCAAAGGACACTTGTTTATTGTATGAGAGCTGAAACAAGAAGGCAGAGCATGACCTTGTTCAGCTTCAGTTGGAAATGTGTGCATTGGGCAACTCAGATTTTTCACTGCTCTGTGCATGTTCGTGAATGACCGTAAAAAAGCTGCTAGTGTTGATTTTGGGGTTATAAATAAATTTTAGTGAGTAGGCAAATTTGTAAATATGGAGTCTTTAACTAATGAGGATCAACTGTATATGTGAGTTTTTTCTGAGAGAGAAATTGCTGGAAGTGGAATTGCTAGGCCAAAGATTATGCAAGTTGAAATTTTTGATTGGAAGATCTTTCCAGATACCTTTCCAAAAGATATTATCTACTTTTTCTCCCCCTTGACAGTAGTGAGAATGTCTCTCTTGTTGTCATAGGTTATTTTAATGATTGTTATCTTATGTGGTCATATACTTTCTGACTCTAAATAACTTCTGATATATCTGCCCCTTTTCCAGATATAGCAATGATGTAACTTCTCTACCTTTTCTGCTGGAGATCCTTACAGTGTTACCTGAAGAAGTACATAGTCGCTCCTTACGAATTGGAGCTAACCGGCGCACAGAAATTATAGAAGATTTGGCTTTTTACTCTAGTACAGTTGTATCTCTATTGGTGAGTAGGTTTGAAACACTAATTTACTTCCTAAGGGACAGAAATCCATGGTAGTTATTTTGTAATCCAGTTATATTAGTGTGAAACAGTTTTCTTTGCAAAATTTGACAATGATAGTACTTTGATATTTATATAACACTTTACAGTTACAAAATACTTTCAGAAGTTATACTTCTTGAGCTTCCAAATAATCCTCTGATTATTTTTAATGTTATCTCCATTTTATGAATGAGAATCAGGCTTTAGAGTTACATAATTGCTAATCCAGAATTTGAGCTCAGGTCTCCTGATTATATAAACTACACACTATTGGCTCTTGATGAAGGGCTATGCTAAAGGAAGTATGTATAAACTTATTTTACTAAGGAAAATAAATCTTAAAACTAAATCAATCTTAGAATGATTTGAGATTTTACTGGACCTTTGAACAACCTCACAATTATAGATTACCTAATACTACATTTCCAAAAAATAAAATTAAATGTGATTGGGTCCTTTTTGATTAGAATATTGTAATGCTCTAGAGCAGAATGGGCAAATTTACGGTCTACAGGCTGGCTGCTTATTTTTGTAAATAAATTTTTATTGGAACACATCTGTGTCCATTCATTTACATATTGTTGCTATCCACGATTTTGGGCTACAACAGCAAAATTCAGTAGTTGCTACAGAAACTGCAAAGCCTAAAATATATACTATCTGGCCCTCTACAGAAAGTGTTTGCTGACCCTTGAGCTAGATGGTACTAAATTGATTATCTAGTCCATATCTCATTTTTAGGTTTTTATAGTCCAGCTCAGTCCTCTCAGTGATGTGTTTTATATTTCTGCAACATCATTTACTAGTAGATTGTTTTGTTTGAAAAACAAAATTTTGTTTGAAATTGTGTTCAGTTTGTTGTTAGAAGTTCGTTGGAAAGTTCTTTAGTTAACTACGTGTTTAGTTTTTTCAGTTAACCATTTATTTTAAATAAATAGTATTGTAGAAAATTAGGAAGTACAGCCAAGCAAATTACATTCAAACCATCTGGAGATCGTACCGTTAACCCTTTAGTGCATGTCCTCTATGAACATATTTCTCTTTGAAAATATGTACAGACTTTTAAAACCCGAATGAAATTATACATTACCTACCCTCCCACATCCTGCCTTTTTCAGTGATCCAACTCCATTTTTCCATTTCAGTTAATTTTCATGTCATTTAACTCCCAGGCCACATTCGGATTTCCCCAGTTGGTTCCAAAATAATCCTTTATAAATTTTTCCAAATCAGTATCCAATCTAGGACCATACCTTATATTAGGTGATTGTGTCTGTTAATCTAGCATAATCCCTCTCCCTTTTTTAAAATTACACTGATTTGTTGAAGAGATTGGGCTAGTTGTTTTATAGAATACCTCGCCTCTGGATTTTCTGGTTACTTCCTCTTTGTTTCATTTAGCTTGTTTTTCAATTCTTTAACTGGAAGTTATGTCTGAAACAAGGGTTCCTCAAGAAAATTAAGCCTTCATGTCTTAAAGCACCCATTTGTATGAAATGAATACTTTCTGTACATTAATAGTAGTACTAACTATATACCATCGTTAGGATAATTGAGAAAAAACTCATATCGTTTTCTGCAGGGCTTAATTCTTTTCCAGGACCCTTGTTGAGAAAAGCTGAAAAGCTTGATGGACTCAAGTTAAACATTTTGGCTAGAGTACATCCTAGGTACTTCATGCTGTATTTCATCAGAAGATACATAATTCTCTGGTTGACCCTCCATTGGTGATGCTAGGATTGATCGCTGGATTAGGATGATGACAGGCTGATCCTTCCATTTATATAGTTTGTTTTTCCCAGTGAAATTTGTGTGATTGTAGTTGCTATTTTCCTAACGTCCAGTTCCCTGTCAGTCTTTTGCCTAATGGTTCAAAATTCCAGTTGATAATCTTTGCCTTAATCAGTAATTATTGTGGTTTGCAAAATGATGTTTTTCTAATTCTGTCATTTATTCTACATATGTGTTAGTTCCTACTAGAAAGGTAGGCTAAATCTTAGTCCTTTTTTGTTTAGTTATCTGTTTTCAAAGTGAAGATTTGTTGTAAAGTGCCTCAAATACTGCTATTTTTTTCTGGCTTTCTGTTTTTGGAGTGTCATGGACTCGTGGATTTTCATTAATTCAGTTTCCACTAAAATCATTCTTTTGATGTTCAGAATATCTTAATTTTAGTCACTGAGAGCATTTCTTTGCTTCCTCACCAGAAAAAGATGACTCTTGCTTATCTTGTTACCTCCCTGCCCCAGATCTGGAACCTTTTTAAAGGGAATGGTGTTTGTATCAGTCTGGGTCCAGTCAGGAGAGAGAAACCACATAGTAATTTGAACAGGGAAAGTTTAATATAAAGAATTATTAACTATAACAATTTCAGTAATGAGAACTTGGCTAATAATAAGTAAAGAGAGCTCTAAAGAAGAATAAAGAGCAAGTGCAAGGATCAGTCACTAACCAGAGGCACTCTGCTCCGGAACCATCAGTGAAGGTGTGTGGAATGTTGGCTGGTCATCGCACTGCAGGAGTAGGGCCCACAAAGGCTGTGAGTGCTGAAGGAGCCTGATGGTGATGAACCTGCTGCCCAGTAAGCACACTGGAACCAGGAGGAAAACCCTTTCCTCCTGCAGTGTCTCTCCAGTATCCTACTGACAAAACTGGCACAGTTTTAAAGGACCCAGATTCATTTCATTGAGAGAGCTTGAAAGGATGAATTTGGAGCTGAGAGGCAGTAAATCTGTAGTCAGCCACAGTCCTCCCCTTTGACTAACTAAGCCTTCATATGATGTTGTTGTTAGGTGCCATCAGGTCGGTTCTGAGTCATAGCAACTCCATGTACAACAGAACGAAACGCTGCCTGATCCTGCACCATCCTCACAGTTGTTGTTAAGCTTGAGCCCATTGTTGCAGCCACTGTGTCAGTCCATCTCATTGAGGGTCTTCCTCTTTTTTGCTGACCCTCTGCTTTACCAAGCATGTCCTTCTACAAGGACTGATCCCTCCTGATAACATGTCCAAAATAGATGAAGTCTCGCCATCCTTGCTTTTAAAAGAGCATTTTGGCTGTACTTCTTCCAAGACAGATTTGTTTGTTCTTCTGGTAGTCCATGGTATATTCAGTATTCTTCGCCAACACCATAATTCAAAGGTGTCAATTTTTCTTTGGTCTTCTTTATTCATTGCCCAGCTTTTGCATGTGCATGAGGCAGTTGAAAACACCATGGCTTGGGTCAGGCATACCTTAGTCTTCAAGGTGACATCTTTGTTGTTTAACACTTTAAAAAGATCTTTTGCAGCAGATTTGGCCAATGCAATGCATTATTTGATTTCTTGACTGCTTCTTCCATGGATGTTGATTGTGGATCCAAGTAAAATGAAGTCCTTGACAGCTTTAATCTTTTCTCTGTTTGTCATGATATTGCTTGTTGGCCCAGTTGTGAGGACTTTTTTCTTGTTGAGGTTTAATTCATACTGAAGGCTGTAGTCTTTGATCTTCATCAGTAAGTGCTTCAGGTCTTCTTCACTTTCAGCAAGCAAGGTTGTGTCATCTGCATATCACAGGTTGTTAACGATGCCACGTTTTCCATGTAGTGCAATACCTTGGATTATTTGCTCAGCATACAGATTGAATAAGTGTGGTGAAAGGATATAATCCTGATGCACACCTTTCCTGACTTTAAACCATGCAGTATCCCCTCATTCTCTTAGAGCGACTGCCTCTTGATCTATGTACAGGTTCCTCATGAGCACAATTAAGTGTTCTGGAATTCCCATTCTTCTCAATGTTATTCATAATTTGTTATGACCCACGTAGTTTAATACCTTTGCATAGTCAGTAAAACACAGGTACAGCTTTATAGTATTCTTTGTTTTCAGCCAGGATCCACCTCACATCAGCAATGATATCCCTTGTTCCATGTCCTCTTTTGAATCCAGCCTGAATTTCTGGCAGTTCCCTGTCAGTGTACTGCTGCAACAACTTTAATGATCTTCAGCAAAATTTTACTTGCACGTGATATTAATAATGTTGTTTGATAATTTCCACATTTGGTTGGATCACCTTTCTTTGGAATAGGTAGAAATATGGATCTCTTCCAGTTGGTTGGCCAGGTAGTTGTCTTCCAAATTTCTTGGCATAGACAAGTGAGCACTTAACAGCGCTGCATCCGTTTGTTGAAACATCTCAATTGGTATTCCATCACTCCCTGGAGCCTTGTTTTTCGCCAATATCTTCAGTGCAGCTTAGACTTTTTCCTTCAGTACCATTGGTTCTTCATCATATGCTACGCCCTGAAATGGTATGCACCCTGTTATACAACACCTTTTTATGCAACACTGTAAAGACGTATTGTTGGCCCTGACAGGTAAAGGCAAACAGATTGTGTTGGTCCTTTCAGATTGGTATGGAGAAGAAGACGTTAGCCAGGACAGTAGCTGCATACCAAATGCAGGGTTTGTGCAGTAAAGATACTACGTCTGGGACAGCAGCTGCAATTTGAGTCACCATTTGATTAATTTTATGATAGTTCACAGTCTCCAGGATCCATCTAACTTCTGCACAGACCAAACTGGTGAGTTAGATGAGGATGTAATAGTTACTACCACCCTCACTTCTTTCAAGTCTTTGAGAGTGACATTAATCTCTGCAGTTCCCCCAGGGATGCAGTATTGCTCTGGTTGACAAACTTGAGAGGGTATGGAAGTTTCAGGTGCTTCTACTTAGTCTTTCCTACTATAGTGCTTTAGTCTTTCCTACTATAGTGGTCCTCACATCATGGATCAGTGAACTGTTGTGGAGATTCTGTCAGTTCCTAAGAATGTCACTTCCAATTATATATTCAGGAACTGGGGAAATAACCACAGGGTGGGTCTTTGGACCAGCTAAGCCTACTGAGCCTACTACATTCAAAAGTGGTTGCAGCAGTACATTGACAGGGAACTGCCAGAAATTCAAGCTGAATTCCGAAGAG